GTTCCTCATTTCTGATTGCCTTCAATGGTGTCTGTTTGTTGTAACCACCAGGTACAAAAACTAACTTGTTGTTATTTGACTATTTTTCTGTCCTGCCTGTTTATTATCTTCCTGCATCTCCTCTCAATCCTAAAGAAAAACTGCTACCTGGGTTCATATTTATTCACCTCATGAGTTACCTTTGAACTGCAGTTCTAAAAGATCTACCGACCGCAAAAACAGCGGAGTGCTCGCCGACTGCATCAGTTAGGTGCGTCACCAGAGGACAAAACAGGTGATGTGCCCCTCTCCACAGCAGCGAAACGCATCAGGCACAAATAAAAGAATAAAAGACAGAAAACATAAAAGGAAATGAGCCGACGTGAACGATCGCGTATTAAATTAGTTTTTGAGGTGGCGACACCTGATTTGATAATGTTACTGTGGCCGTGCTCAGGACGCAGATGTCTGGAGCGCGTCAACAATCAGAGCTTTGCGTGCGCAAGCTGGTTAAGGTTAGGATGGGGGTGAGGGGAAGAATAAATTGCAAGAGGGTAAACATCACAATTTGGTTAAATGTCCGTTTTACGGCGGGTGTCAGTCCCGATTCTCTGGCACAGCGCTTTGCCTCCCGACACACAGGAGCTTGTCACCTGCTGACAACAGGCTGCTGTCTTTTCCGTGGACTGCATCTTGCTGGTCATTATCACGTGACAGCGACTAGTCGATGACAGGCATAAAAAGTCACTACAGAGCGGTGAAGTCGACTAGTGACTAGTTCATACAACCCCTACTACTGCTCCCCAGAGTGTTCTGCAGCATAATCAGCACATTCTCTTTGAACTTGATATCAAATTTTCGCCTCCTCTTTGTCTCCGCACCTGCAACGGTTAAAGTTACCCTCGCGATCTGTCACTGGCAAATCAAAAGTGAGACGGATGACACAACCGTCCCACTGTGGTACTTGCTTGTTACCACATTCCACCCGGCCACAATTAAAAAAAATGGCCATTATTCACCTCCGCCGACTCAGACACCAGCCAAAATATGATACCCGGCAGTTAATTAAATACAGGCCAATATTAGAGGATTTACGGTAGATAATAAAGTCAGTGAAGATGGAAAAGGTGACACTAGCAGTATGCAGTCTGAAACAGGTGGGGTTTGAGTCTTGATTAAAGGAGGAGAGCGAGTCAGAGTTACGGATGGCTTGAGGGAGAGAATTCCAGAGACGGAGAGCAGAGCTGCTGAAGGCTCTGCTTCCCATAGTGCTGAGATGGAAAGGTGGGACAGAGAGATAGAGGATGATGATCTGAGGGAACGGATGGGAGAGATAATGTGAATGAGGTCAGACAGGAATGGGGGAGAAAGGTTATGGATAGCTTTAAATATGAGGAGAATGATTTTGAAATCTGTGTGTTGTCCAACAGGAAGCCAGCGAAGCTGTTGCAGGACAGGGCTGATATGGTGACTCACAGAGGTTTTAGAAATGATGTGTGCAGCAGAATTCTGGACCAGTTGGAGCTTATGGATGGACTTTTGTGGTGAACCAAATAGGAGTGTATTGCAGTAGTCGATTCTTGAGGTGATATGGCTGTGAACAAGTATGGAAGCAGACTGGGGGGTGAGAGAGGGGCAAAGGCGATTAATATTGTGTAGGTGAAAGTAGGCAGATTAAGTGATGTTATTGATGTGGGATTGAAATGAAAGAGTGGTGTCAAGGATGACTCTTCACCTGTAGGAAAGGAGAAACGGAGGAGTCATCAACAGTGAAGGAAAAACTTGGAGCTTTGGATAAGGTGGATTTGGTGCCAACTAAAAGGATTTCTGTTTTACCACTGTTAAGTTTGAGAAAATTTGTGGTGAACCAAGATCTAATTTCAGCTAGACAGGAAGAGAGGGAGTGGGGTAAAAGTGGAGATTGGGGTTTTAAGGAAAAGTAAAGCTGGGTGTCATCGGCATAGCAGTGAAACTGAATGTTAAATTTGTGAAAGATAGGACCAAGTGGAACGAAGTAGATAATGAAGAGAAGGGGCCCCAAGACAGAACCCTGGGGCACACCTTTGACAACTGGGGAGGGGTCTGATCTGAAGGACTTGAGTTATATGAATTGTGTGTGGCCTGAGAGATAGGAGAGGAAATAGTCAAGTGTGAGATGGGATATGCCAAACCAATAAGCCTGTCAGAAAAATTGAATGAGAAATGGTATCAAAAGCTGCGCTCAGATCAAGCAGGATGAGGATGGTAAGAAGGCCTGAATCAGCAGCAGTCAGAAGATCATTAGTGATTTTTAAGAGAGCAGTTTGTGTACTGTGACCGGGGCGAAAACCAGATTGAAATCGTTCATAGAGAGTTTTGTTCCAAGTGAAAGTGGAGTTGAGAGACGACAACTTTCTCCAGTATTTTTGAAATGAAAGGTAGGATAGAAATGGGGCAAAGGTTATTAAAGTTGTTTGGATCTGCACCTGCTTTTTAAGCGTGGGCGTGACTGCAGCATTAGTCAAATTAAACGGATACTGGGCACTTTAGCTTGCTGTTAGCACCTCTTAGTATCCCAGCAGGGGCGCCGTAAAGCGGTGAAAGATTTTGAAGATTCTAAGGGCCCACAGCTGTCAGGGGCCCAACAATGTTTCAAAGTTGAATAAAAAAAATTAAGTTTAAAAATCACAAGTACTTTAATTTGCAGTATATTTTCTCATTTAAGACATTAAACAAACAATCTTTTAGTCTTTATGAAATGTATATTTATTCAGAGGTCCTTACTTTATTTTGACTAATTAATTTGAACCCCCCCAACGGCATAAAATGGAAAATGGTACAGTCCACCTGGCCGGGGGGCGCGTAGCAGGCGAGGCTAGCCACACAGCAGTCACTCAGACAGCAGAGTGCGCCAAGCCTGCAGTAAAAATATGTCTGCAAAAACAAAGTCTGGGTCACAGAAAAGGAAAGAAAGAAAGGAGAAAGAGGACAGGCAGAAGAGAGGGTGTCAGTATGCCACACAATTTTTCTCAAAGAAAGGTGGGTTTAGTTAGTGATTGGTTAAATTCAACCTGTTTGCTAGCTCTGATATCCACAGTGAGAGCAACTATGTTTCATCTAATTATGGTAAATGGGTTGTTGTCCTTGTCCCTACCAGAATCAGCAGCTGATGACATGTCAGCAGGTATCCCCTCACAACCCAATGAACCTCAAGAAGGTGAGCAATGTAGCATGTTAGATAGCAGCCTCATTTAAGGGGGTCTGTGGGAATCACTTAAGGCTCTCTTCTCTATCAGTACTATTACAAAGGAATATAAAAAGGCTATTTTTGGTGATAAACACATTGTTTTTCCACATAATGATAATTATATATATCAATCAGTAAAAATGTACAGATTGTTTTGATGCTGGGCAGGTTGAAGCATTGTTATTTAGTGTGTTAATGCAACATAAATTACTGTGAGATTCCTACTGTGAAGCACCTTAGAAGAAAAAAAAAACCCTCTTCATCTACTAAATACCTTGAAATGAAATGTTTTGAATCTGACTGAATTATGGGAGGTTTTACAAGATGTAATTTGTTTATGTAGCTTTTAGAACACAAACCAAAAATCAGTCATTTCCAAATAATTTATTAGAGAGCAAAACTGAAACAAAACTATTAATAATTGTAATAAATAAACTTAATATAACATTGAACACAATAAAATACAAAAACTAGTTTTGATCGTTATCGAGCATTGTTAATTATATCACTGTAAATAATACATTTTGCTGTGTACAATCAAGGCTAAATATATTTTTAGCTGTTTTTATGTTGTTGAGAAAAATGGGTGTCTAGAGACTTATATACGTATTCATATAAAGTTGTCCAACTTTAAAATTTTATGTAACCCTAACTGACTCTGGTTTGAACTGTGTGCTTATTCATTTTGTGTCTATGATGAAGCCATGGAGACTTAATAAAGAAGTCACCTTGTGAGCAGTGAATCCTTAATTTTTGTCAATCATACAGAAATACTTGATTTCAAGAGGAAAGACAGCTGAAAATGTAGTTATGTAAAGCTTTGGCACAACATGGAAATTTAATTAGATATCCAAATTTGAATTTTATCATCAAATAAAATTTTAGAATAAATAAACAAATTTTAAGGGAGTAATAAAAAAAAGGAGATTAACACCTATCAGCATGTGCATTTCCTGCTTTTTCCAGCAGTGATATTGCTAATTCTGTTGAAGGAAATTCGCTGTTTAATGAGAGACAGCTGGTGAAAATGAAATAAGAATGCATGTAGACCTACATAATTAAGCAAAACTGAAACACTAATATAAAGTATATACATTTTTTTTCTCCCTTCGAATCTGGGAGGGTGGAACCCCAGCTCCAGCTGTTGACGAGCCCCCAGGGGGCCCAACTTGATATTTTTTCATGGGGCCCAAAATCTCTGGCAGCCTCCCTGATCCCAAGCAAAACCAAAACCTATCTCATTGCTTTGCATTTGTCTTTTAACACCTTAATCTAACAGCTGAAACCTCTCCCAGCCTTCATTAGTGTCTAAAGGGGTGATTCATCACTAAATTTAAACAAATCTGCTGTGTTCGTGATCTAAAACATGCAGGAAACCTGCTGAAGCCAGACAGCAGTGCCAGCCAGGTCAGCTCATTTTACCATGTTGCAAGTGGAAAATTTTGGCCACAGGGGGCGATAGAGGCTGGTTGACCTTTCATTAACCCGTAAAAGCTCATTTTAGCACATCCTGGCTCAAGAAACTAATTAAAAATATAAAAAAAAGCTGCAAAGTGTCGCTTTAACAATAGAAACACAATCCAGTCTTACTCCCAGCTTTGTTGCAGTTCACTAAGTAATTTATCAAAAATGACCCAATGGTGTCACCCCATTACTATTAATATTATTGTTGTCTTTTAAAATCACGTTTTATTTGTAATAGTAAGCTTTTGTGATTCTTCTGTTGAGCGGCACCATATCCAAAAGCCTTTATCCCGTTTTTCTAGCTCTCTGACCCCTCCTCCTCGCCTCACCCCAGTCACACTCAGCGCAGCTCCTCTTGCCCAGTGATGCTGCGTGGCGCTGCGCGGCGCAGTCTCATCAGGACCGAGACGTTCCGTTTTCATCCCGCGGAAAACGCGCATTCATGATGGGGAATTAACGGTGAGAGGATCGAAAAAGGGAGGGACGAGAAGTCCCGTCCGTGAAGGAAGCAAAAGGAGGAGGAGGACTCCAGGAAGCGGTACCGTTGGTACGGGGACGCGGTGGATGGTCAGTCTGATGTGGACTCGAGGCGCTTTCCCAGATAAAACCGTGGAATTAAAGAACCGGTCCGTTTGTGTTCCGGCCCGTCTATGATGCAGTGAGGCGGCTTTACGGTGACAATGAAGTCCGTGTTTTTCAGCCGCTTCTTCATCCTCCTCCCCTGGGTCCTGATAGTCATCATCATGATCGACATCGACAGTAAGAGGCCGATGCGGACTCCTGCAGCCTGGCGGAGCGGTAGGGTGCAGCGGTCCGCCCGGAGCAGCTCCCCGGGGGGGTCAGCTGCTGCTCGGAACCAATCAGCGCTGCCGATCATCTACGCCATCACTCCGACCTACACTCGGCTGGTGCAGAAGGCCGAGCTGACCCGGCTGGCCCACGCATTCCGCCAGGTGCCCCGCTTCCACTGGATCGTGGTAGAGGATTCTACAACGCGCACGGAGCTGGTCGCGCGCTTCCTGGCCCGGAGCGGAGTACCGTACACTCACCTGCACGTGTTCACCCCCCGCAGGTTTAAACGCACCGGAATGCCACGCGCCACCGAGCAGCGGAACGCAGCTCTCACGTGGCTCCGGCAGCACCGCAGCAGGCGGGACGCCGGCGTGGTGTTCTTTGCTGATGACGACAACACCTACAGCCTGGAGCTGTTCGAGGAGGTGACGTCATTTACCTGGCAATATAAGAGTTGTTAAAATCGCTTCTTTGCCTCACAGATGTCAGCAGTCTGGCGCTTGTTGGTACACACACACACACACACACACACACACACACACACACACACACACACACACACACAAACACACATAGGCCTACACACACATGCACACATACACACACGCACGCACCGACACACAAACACACACACATGCATGAATACACACACCGACTCGCACACACATGCAAACACACACGTGTACGCACACACACACACGCACGCACACACACATACACACAAACAAAGACACACATGCATACACACACCGACACACACACATCGACATACACACACACACACACACCAACACATGCACGCACACACCGACACACGCACACACACACACACACACACACACACGGACACAAATGCATGCACACACCGACACACACACACACACACACACACACACACACACACACACACACACACACACACACACACACACACACACACACAAACACACATAGGCCTACACACACATGCACACATACACACACGCACGCACCGACACACAAACACACACACATGCATGAACACACACACCGACTCGCACACACATGCAAACACACACATGTATGCACACACACACGCACGCACACACACATACACACAAACAAAGACACACATGCATACACACACCGACACACACACATCGACATACACACACACACACACCAACACATGCACGCACACACCGACACACGCACACACACACACACACACACACACACACACACACACACACACACACACACACACACACGCGGACACAAATGCATTCACACACCGACACACACACACACACACACACACACACACACACACACTTGACAGAAACTATAGATTATAGTTTGAACATAAATGACGAATAGAACAAAAGAACAATCCACATGATGAGTCTAATTCCTTCATGGAGACCCTTTTATTAAGTCCAAGCCTCCCTCATGACGTTAATGTGGACATCAGAAACAAGACTTTAGCAAACACCAGGTTACCTAAAGGCCTGGCTAGTGTTTACCATTCAGCTCACTGGTTACCACGGTTACCATATACCCATTTCCTTTGTTTTTTATTACTTTTTTTCTGTGTCCTGCCTGGCTGTGAAGCAAACAGAATTAATGTCTGAATACTGGTGACAAGACTTACAGATTTTACTCTCAGGTGGAGCATCAAAGTGTCTGCGATTGATGTCACGCCTGATACTTAAAACTTTATTGTTGTTGTTTTTTGAATGCTTTTTAATTCCAACCAGACACGGAGACTGAGGTGAAAGAGAAAGGAAGAGACAAAAGGTGGTGGTGGTGGGGGGGTGGGGGGTGGGGGGGGGGGGCGTGTCCACGAAAATAAACAGTCAATGATGAACAAGAGTCTGCTTCTAGACCTGCAGAAAGGGGACACACAACAATTACAACAGGAGCAAGCGATCACTGCATCAACTATATGAAGTAATGCAAAATCAACATTGTTTTACTGAACAATCACACAATAATAAATCACAGTGCATTTAGTGCCAACCATAGCCTTAAGACATGTGTTGAACGTGCCCAAGTCCATACTTATGAGAGCACCATGTGAGCTCCTGTGTGCGTACACGCGCTTGTATATGTAAGGTTTCTCTATAGGAGCTTCCAATATAGAGTGTGAGGGGCCAAAGATCTGCCCCCCAAAGATGCATAGGAGCAGGGGAGGATTTAGGACTGAAGAAGATCCGGGGCTTAACACACGCGTGCACACGCACGCGCACACACGTGCGCGCACACGTGACACGCACTAGTCAACATCATATATGTATGTCTTGTACCACATAATTTTTAATCTGAAGCTACATATTCAGCATATTCAGGGCAGAGTATTGTTCCTGTTAGTGTTTAGTGTGAGATGATAATAAATATTCCCTTTCTTTCTCCATCAACTTTACCTGATAGTAAGCTAACTTTAGCCAAACCAGCAGCACAACAAATATTTTCAAATAAGACCCACAAAACTGAGTCAACACCAGTCTCATCAGAGCTGGGGTTCTGTCGTTGTACTTTTTGTCTAAAAAACGTCCTTATGTCCATCTTCACTCATGCGTTTCAGACAGAGAGTGTAGAAGAAGCCGGCTGCTGAAGGGCTTCTTCTTCAGTGGTGGAGGCTCAGGCAGGCTGTATACAAACTACTGCCAGCTGCGCCCTCTCTGTTGGACTTTGGTACTGCATGTTACTTCCGCGATTTAGATCCGGGGCTTATCATGAAAGATCCGGGGCTTCAGCCCAAGTAGCTGGGCCTAACGTCGCCCCTGCATAGGAGATGGAGGGAGCTCCAAGTCCCAGAGATCCAGGAGCTGCCCCAGAGAATATGGACCCCAAGGAGACTGCGATCAGAAAAGCCCCTGCCCCCCTCGAGAGGCGCAGAGGATCGCCTCGGGGGGCAACAACCAGCAGCTGGCAGAGTCCCGGGAGATATCAGTGGCAAGTCCACATGCCCGCCTGCAGCCTTCCACCCCGGGACCCAGGGGCGACCACCCTCGCCGGGGACCCAGCAGAGCCCAGGGACCCAGATCCCACCAGGCAGCCACTGGGATTGACCAGGCAGACGCCAAATATCTTAAAACCTCTGACCGGGGGAGCCCCGAACACTCAGGCAGACCACTGACCCCAATAGGCACCTCTGTTGCCAAAATGCCACCCAGGGCATGGAGACCCCAACCCATCTTGCCAGGGCCCAAAGCAGCAGCAGCAGCAGCATCACAGAGCCTCACGGAGTCCAAGGGCACCAACCCAGCCCCACCCCAGCAGAATATCTACTCCCATCTCTGCATTTGCACAACTTCCAGAATATATAAGACATAGGACATCAAGGTACAGCCCCTGTGATGGAACAGCAAAGGAGCCAAGGTCTACCCGAGGCCCCTGAGCCCGGGCCAGGCACTGCCGCATGTTCCTGCCTTCTTCCTGGCAGCATATATGTCAGGACCCCACCCCCAAGGCCCCTCCCAGATTTCCACACGGGGCCGGCCACCCCCACACCCCGAGCCCCCAGCCCCCACCCAGACCCGCTCAGGGGCAATGCAGCTGACAGGAAGCGACCCATGGCCATCGCCAAGACCCCCAAGGGGCCCCACTCACAACCGCCAGTAGTCCACCCCCCGAGGCAACCCAAGCACCTCCAGAGGATTTGGAGGTTCTCTGCGGCCCTGAGGTCCGCTGGAACGAGCTGCCAGAGGACCTCAGGGCCGCAGAGAACGTTCATGTTTTTAGGTCCAGGCTCAAGACCCATCTTTTTAGGTTAGCTTTTATCTAAATATTTACTACAGTTTTATTTTTCGTTTTACATGATTATGTTTTATTGCTTGCTTTGCATGTTTTATATGATATTTTAGCATTGTTTTCATTATTTACTATTATTATTTTACTGTCTATAGGATTTTATTTATTGCTTATTTTCTAACTTTTGTCCCTTATATTAGCTCTTTTATTATTATTTTTTTACTCATTTTAATCCAGTGTTTCCTCTGTAGGGGCCCTCTGCCCAGGGAGCGGTGGTTGGTTGTAGCTTCCTGGGCGCTCTACAGGTAGCGTTTAAGATGTCCTTTGGCTGCTTTGTTTGGAGTGATCACAGTGGTTGTCTCTTTGGACAGATGCCAGTTGAATATGATTGCTTTTGGTTCTTTGTTATCCAGAAGACTCATTCTGTCCAATTGGAGGACTTCTCATTCGCTAACTTACGCACACTAGGTTAAGGAGGCAATGAGCCAGATCAGACTTGAATCCATTTATATGTTATTTTGCTGACATCACCAAAGCCATGCCCCCTCACAACAGGAAGTTTATTGTTTTTCTTTAAGAGGTCAAGAGTTGATCTCTTTCTTCTAATCAAGATGAGACTCTGGCCAGTTCCAGAACACATAATCATCTACAGCTGCACCAGGGCTGTACAATGCGACAAATGTCACACGTGCAATGAAAAAACTCTGTGCGATAAACTATTTTTAGATGTAGCACTCCTGCGACATCTTTTCAAGTTACTTTTTTTTCTCCAGAACTTTATTGAACAAATTTAATTGCTTGTCATTGTGTAAGGAAGATGCCTTTTACTTGCAAACAATCTGTGGAGGAAAACAGAGAAACCAGCAAAGACACAAAGGCAGAGACGGTCCAGAGTTTGGGATGAAAAGTGTAACTACGGACAGATTAGCTAATGCTAGCGGGTAGCCGGCTCACGGTCAAGCAGGGTTCCGAAAAACACGATGGTTGTGAAACTAAGAATATCTAAACTCTACAAGCGGAAAAAAGTCCCATCATCCTGTTTATTCTTAGCTGTCTGCAGCGCTATTCAGCAGAACTGCAGACGTCAGGTTGCTGATTTGAGTCTGCTCCATACATCGCAGCAGGAATACGGCAAGCCACTGTTGCATTTGCTGACGTGTATATAATAGATACGTCGCCATTACATTTTCAGCAGTAGAAATTAAATGTTATTAGCATTTCCAGTAGTGCTGAACATGTTAATGAAGTATTTTAAATTCTACTGATCATAGTTTAATTGTGAATATATTTATATGCTATTTTGACTAAGATGAGCGATATTAATACAAACCTAATATTTTAATGGAATGTAGGTACTTTTTTTAAATAAAATATCTAACTACAAACATCAGATGGCAAAGAGGGAACTATACAACACAAATTCCCTGTTAGGGAGCCTAAGTCACGCCCATCCACTTCCGGACCAATGCGGCTAAAAATGCTATTTTCTAATTCTGCTTGTTATGTGCCATGGATTTCACATATCATGTCCGTGAATTTTAAAGACACATTTCGATAACAAGAACGTGCTTATTTTTGAACGTTGTTTTAGGTTTTGTGTGAAAATAAGTCCAGGACTACAAATGTTCTTCACGAAAGTGACATAATCGAAGCAGACACGGAGAAAACAGAGGGAAAATGGCTGTAATTTCAGCGAGCTTCAAATCCTTCCTTCAGGAGGAAAGAAACACCATAAATCTGGCCATGTGGTAAGAAGTGGCCGCTACGCTAGGGGAGAGGAAATTCTGTGGTGACGTCATGTATGCAACATACCGATGTCTGGTTTGTAGTCATGCTAACAGCAAACTTTTACAAGCTGATAAATCTCAAAATATGTGACTGACGTGGTCGAAACACCCATCATTACTTTTCATTTAAATATAAGTACAACATGGATGATCCAGGGCGTAAAGCAAAGCCGATTAGAAAATAACTCTTTTAGCCCCGTTGAGTTGCTGTCATTTTCCGTTTTTCCAGGGACCCATGAGCCGACCAGAAAGGGAGGAGACTTAGGCTCCCTGTTGAGCCTTTTATAACAAGAGTCTGACATTTCAGCCTCATAATTTTGTTGTTTTATTTCATATTTTTAGCAGCAGACCACAGTCTTGTTTCACTTGAAACATTGTCAAAGGGAATATTCGATTAATCAGAAGGAAAACATTCATATAGTTCTGTCTGTCTCTCTAGACCAGGGGTGTCAAACTCATTTTAGCTCAGGGGCCACATTGAGGGAAATCTAGTCCCAAGTGGGCCGGACCGGCAAATAAAAAAAAAAAAACTTCAGACTGTTTTCTTTGTTTTAATACAGTCAATATGAAACAAGGCTGGAGCTTGAGGACAGTGTAGTACAAGTACAACACCTGAAGTGTACTTGAAAATTTGAAAAAAAAAAAAAAATCAATACATAATAAAAAATTCCTTAGTGATTCAAAGAGCTTACAGATCACATGGCTAGATCAGTTCCATGCAGCACTTAAAGTATATTTGACTCATTTTACTTTACATCTTTTAGCTTTCACCAGCACATCAATATCAGAAGTCACATCCTGAGTGGCGGCCAACTTCAGGATGTGATTCAAGTTCTTGTGTGAGCCTTGAGCGCAGCTCTGTTTTATTTATACTCATTACAGAGAAACCTTGCTCACAAAGATAAGTTTATTTTCACTCTACATTGTAAAGTATGAAAATAACGTTTTCACAACCATCTCACGGGCCGGATTTAACCCATTTGTGGGCCGCATCCGGCCCGCGGGCCGCATGTTTGACACCACTGCTCTAGAGAGAGAGAGAGAGAGAGATTTTTATATCAGAATCAGATTTATTGCCATGTAGGTGAGAGGCTCATCTACAAGGATTTTGTTTCGATGACAAGGTGCAAACATACATTCAGGTCAAAGTCAGGTCAGGCAGTATTTACATTAGGATACATCAAATAATCAGAAAAGAAACATAACCAGAAAGCAATCATACGCATAGGAATGTGGGTGATCGGGGCATTTGTGTGTGTTTTGGCCATTCATCGGTTGTTCAGGAAGCATTACAGAGGAGGGGAAGAAGCAGTTTTTTTGTGTGAGGTTCTAGTCTGTAAGGACCTGAACCTCCTCCCTGAAGGTAGGGTTTCAAACAGTCCATGATCACGGTGAGAGGGGTCAGCTGTTATCCGACCTGCACGTTTCAGAACCCTGGAGTTGTACAGGTCATGTACGGATGGAAGGCTGCAACCGATTACTTTCTCCGCTGAGCACAGCGTTGCAGTCTTTGTTTGTTCCTGGCAGTGGCTCCTGCGTACCACACAGTGATGGAGGAGGTCAGTACTGATTCGATGATGGCCATGTAGAAGCATGCAGAGCTTCCTCAGTTGACGCAGAAAGAACATCCTTTGCTGGGCCTTCCTGATGAGTACATTGATGGACACCTCCCACTTGAGTTCATGGGTGAAGGTGGACCCAAGGCAGTGAAAGGAGTTCACGGTTGAAATCTGGTTGTCTGTCAGAGTTATGCTGGGCAGTGGAGCCGGTGTTCTCCTGAAGTCTACAATCATCTCCACTGTCTTCTGCTCGTTCAGCTCTAGGTTGTTGTTTCTGCACCAGGACGCAAGGTGCTCCACCTCTCTCTGTTGACGCTGCCATTTGAAGACAGGAGAATGATGGAGGAATGAACAAACACCATGCAGGCCCTATTCAGTGGGGACCGGCAGTCGCTGCAGCAGCACCACGCCCTTTTATTTACGCATGCTCACAGATCAGTCACAACTGTAAGAGCACAACTAATCAACAAAGCTTAACACTCTGTATGCAGACTCATTCCCATCTGAGATTAGGCCAATGAGGGTGGTGTCATCCGCAGACTTGACCAGTTTCACCGTCTGGTGGTTTGAGGTGCAGCTGAGGAGAGAGGACACGGCCCTGGGGGGTTCCAATGTTGGTGGTTCGGGTATCGGAGACATTTTTTCCCAGCCTCACGTGCTGTCTCCTATCTGTCAGAAAGTCTGTGATCCACCGGCAGATGGGGTCGGACACGTTCAGCACGGATAGTTTGTCCTGAAGGAGAGCTGGGCAGACTGTGTTAAATGCTGAGCTGAAGTCCACAAACAGTATCCTCGCGTTGGTTCCTGGACAGTCCAGATGTTGTAGGATGAAGTGGAGGGCAAGATTATAAATATATATCCTGCATATATATCCGACTCATCATTATGTGCATCTGCCGTTGTTGAGGCTGTTCATTTAATCTGTGCCTACTAAGCTGTAAACATAAATGACACTAATGATGTACTCATTTAGCAATGGGGTGTGTCAGAGCTCATGCGCCCCTGGTTGTGGGGGGTGGGAGAGCACGTGGGGTAAGGTTTAGGAGCAGTTTTATTTGTTCTTGTGAAGTTCATAGTGATTTTTATCTTGAGAGGCGCTATATAAAAACAAAATAGCATTTCTTCTTCGTCGTTAAGGTTCACCGTTCATATAAAACATTTCGATGAAAAAAATGCTTTTTACTCTGCGAAAAATACAGTAGTTATGTCTTAAATGTTACCTTAGTGTCGCATTCGGTCTCGTCTCCCCAGTTTCTGTTCAGTCTTGTGTTCGTAGTAATCAGTTCAATTCAATTCTTTATTCAGGACAATGCACATTAATAAACAATCAAATACATTGTATCGATCGTAAATGGGCCAGATTACAGCATAGTTGCTAATTTGCATCTGTAGTCCGTCAACAGTAAAACAAGTAACACCAAACAATTTAAAAACAGTCAGATAGAAACATTACATTAAAATAGACAAACAAAAAATAAGAATAACTAAAGATGCAAACATGTCTGGGAACCTTTAAGATGTAGCTTGAGGTGCTTTTTAAAGGTGCTATAAGTGGGAAACTCTCTGATATTCGCTGGGATGTTGTTCCAAAATTGACTCCCTCTAACGGACAGTACCATTTGTCCGAATGTCGTTTTCCTGTAGGGGATCTGAAGGTCTCCTCTAGTGGAGGCTCTAGTACCATAGCCTTTGTCTGGTCTTAATTTTATGTGTGCAGAAAGTGGAGGTGGAGCTAGTCCATTAAGTGCTCTGTAGATTAAACAACTATTATTGAACTTAATAAAATTTTTAAAATTAAGCATGCTGTACTTTGCCAGAGTATTACAATGGTGATGTGACAAAGGCTTTTGATCCAAGATTTTTATAGACTTTTTGAATAATATTTCTATTGGTTTTAAAAGAGTGTCCCCAGTGAATGACCAGGTTGTGATGCAGTAGTCTATATGAGAGAAAATCATGGAGTGCAATAACATTGTAGCTGAAATTGTAGTCATTGAAGATCTAATTTGTTTAATGTTATTTATATTGAATTTAATTGTGTTCACTGTATGTTTAAATCGCTCCCACCTGCCTCTCGTTACCCCAATCACTTGAGTCCCCAGTTCCTGTATTTAAACCAGTCAGTTCTGTGTGTTGTCGGTTCATTGTTTCAATGTCAGTGTGTTCTTTATTAAAACCCTTCAAACATCCTCACCAGCCTGTGTGTGTCACTCACCTGCATTTGGATCCTCACTTCAGCCCTCAACTCAGCGCCACACCGGACACTTGGTCCTATAAAAATGACCTGATGGGAGAACTAAATTCTTACCGGGCCGGTCAAAGTAAAAACTGTTGCATTTAATATTGTTCGGTATAGGTAGTGTTTTCTCGGAAGCCCCACTTACCGGGTCATGGAACTCTTTCAACAAAATCTTAAAACTTTGTGAACTAAAAACTAAACATGACTGCAAACCTAAAACTTCAAGCAACAAAAGAATAAGGAAAACTAAATGAGACAAAATTTTTGACTGTGTTTGTTTCTCTTCCCCCACCACTCTTACTCCCAAAACACACCAGACGCGGAAGTGTGACGAAGTGCCGTGGAAAGACGAGTGCTTCTAACCGGCGCCCTTGCTAACCCACGCTCTCGGTCACATCAGCTGCGAAGGCTCACGCTGTGCAGCCATCGTGATTGGCGCTTTATATATAAACAGAGTTTAAACTAAATAGAATGTCCTAGTTTAGTTGACTAAAATTAGACTATAATTAAAAATAATTGGAAGACTAAATTCTTTTGAATTTTAGTCTAAAGACTAAGACTAAACCTAAATTAAAATGTTATGATGAAAATTAACACTGGAATGATGTACAAGTGTGTCTGAAGGCAGAAATCAGGTCAGTCGGCCATGCCAGCAAGGAAGCATCTCTATGCTGTTCCCAGTTGCTCATTCACTCATGTTTTTGGTTATGTGACATTGGATGCCACCATAACGTGACGTGGAGACAGAAGCACTTTGTTTATCAGATTTGAGATCTATTCAGCCTAACGAGTATGACTTTTAAAACAAAACTAGTAAAGATATCAACGACAAAATGGGCTTGACTGAACAAGACTTCATTTTTTTCTTTGCAGATGCGCAGCACCCATGGAGTTTCTGTTTGGCCTGTGGGATTTGTGGGTGGCCGAGCATATGAGCGCCCTCTTGTGTCTGGGGGTAAAGTGGTGGGCTGGTACACTGGCTGGAGACCAGACAGGCCATTCGCCACAGACATGGCAGGTAAGAAGACCTGGGCTGATCCCCTCTGGATATATATATATATATATATATATATATATAATTCCATGGCAAGGTGTACACCAGCACCAAAGAGCAGACGTGAAAAAGTTCACAGGTGAAGAGGATGGTATCAATCTACTCTGGGTGTCCAGGCTGGGTTTCCCCAGTTGGGTCCCAGTTCCACCCGCAGTGCCCGTTAGGCAGGAGTTGCTCATCCCGTTATCTCTCACTGTGACACTAGAGCTAGGTTCCGTTGGAGCTCATTGGAATGACCAGATTCTACAAAGTTTTCATAAATAAACACAACTTAGATCTGTGACTGGTATTAAACCAAAACCAGAGTGCAGCTTGTAATGAGCATGGGCGTTTTTGTTGCTTGGGCGGTGCAGAGCTGTGGAGAAACTCGTTTCAACAACGGAACTGACTGGAATACTGACGTAACACCGGAGCACAGAGGTGAGGGAGGAGAAGAGGGCAAACACAGCCAGAGCAACACGGAGGGACCGGACTGACAGTAGCGTTTTTGAACTAAACTGGGAAAAGTGTGGGTGTTAAAACACCCACATCCCCCACGAGTGCGACACCCATGCCAGGGCTGCATAATGCATTGAAAATGTATCGTCATCGTGGTATCGCCATGTGCAACACGCATATCACAAAGAACAGAATGTGCGCACGCGCACACACACACACACACACACACACACACACACACACACACACACACACACACACACACACACACACACACACACACACACACACTTACCTACACTCAGGATCAGGGCTTACGGTACGTAACGAACGTTCCTGAAACATCCTGGAAAGAGGTGCTTTTGGAGTGGCCTGGTGAATTGGAGACAAGTGCATCTAGCCAAGGTTCAGTAAAGTTACCCATAAGTTCCGACAAGCTCAGTGGGAAGGGGAAAAACATGGAAGGGACTGGGGAAACTGGATATTATACAATTACTGTATTGTGGTATTGTTGCCAGATGTCTTCATGGAGCACGTAAGTGGGAGCATGTCACTCCCCTCCTGACAGCTTTGGACTGGCTACCGGTGAAGAGTTGCATCTTGTTTATAATCCTGGTCCTTGTTTTTCAATCCTGTCTGGATCAGCGCCACCATATTTGGCCTCCCTGCAAGATCGCTACGTTCAGGTCAGAGTGACCTTTTGGTGGTACCACGATCAAAGCGTAAGTCTAGGGGTGATCGTGCCTTTGCAGTTCTGGGTCCTCGGCTTTGGAACCAACTCCCACAAGAAATCAAGCCGTCCATATCACTGCCCACTTTTAAAGCAAGGCCTAAGCTGTATTTTAGATAATTTTCTTAGTTGTTTCTATTTACATTTTAATGTTTTCAGTCACTATTTTTATATTGGTTTTAGCTCTCTTTTTGTTTGTAAAAGTTTTATCTCTGTATTTTATTATAGACCTGTTTTGTTGTGCTGCTTCTCTGTACTTTGTTCCGCACCTTGGGCCCCCTTGATTGGGGGTGGGAAGGGGCTTTATGAATTTAACTTGAACTCGAACTCGATTGTCTCTAGAACACACAGAGTACCATCTATCCTGATATGACAAGTCAGGTATGTGTCATCTAATATGAAGTTGTCTTTTCTTGAAACACAGAACTACCTAACTTCAAAATAATGCCTCTGCCCAACAGGACTATCTGACACTCGACAGCCATTAGAAACACCATTTTTTTTGCTTTGACCAAATAAAATGTATGTTATAATATGTATTATATACATTTATATGCTCTCCTCCCTTTCAGGCTTTGCTGTGAATCTCCAGGTGATCCTGGTGAATCCGCGGGCCCAGTTCAAGAGACGCGGCTCCCAGCCAGGCATGCAGGAATCTGACTTTCTCAAACAGATCACCAAGGTGTCTGAGCTGGAGCCCAAAGCCAACAACTGCACACAGGTCAGTCATCTCCGTTTCCTCGACAACAGACCGAAAATCTATGAAAAAAAAGCATTACTTTATTCATGCCTGCCGAGTCACTTCTTCACACACACACACACACACACACACACACACACACACACACACACACACACACACACACACACACACACACAGTGATGCCAGTAATGCGTTACTACACGCTACTGATTACTAGTTTTGTGAAATGGTAAAAATGGTAAATGGCCTGTATTTGATATAGCGCCTTCTAGAGTCCTGGAACCCCCCAAGGCGCTTTACAACACAATCAGTCATTCACACATACTGATGGTGATGAGCTACGATGTAGCCACAGCTGCCCTGGGGCGCACTGACAGAGGCGAGGCTGCCGAGCACTGGCGCCACCGGTCCCTCCGACCACCACCAGCAGGCAACGTGGGTTAAGTGTCTTGCCCAAGGACACAACAACAGCGACAGAATGAGCAGGGCTCGAACCTGCAACCTTCCAATTACGGGGCCAGCACTTAACTCCTGTGCCACCGTCGCCCACCTAAAAGACTAACAACATCCAACACAACGATGGCAATGTAGGGTTTTGTAAATTGAGTGCTTTAAGAGCTCAATATGTATTACCTCTACTTATGACCAATAAGCTGTGATACTCTGTCTTAATATAGAATTTCAACCTGCTTGGTCTTTACTGTGTTTAATCAGAAGATTCTAGGATTCTTTGTTTTATTCAGGGATTATAAACACTTCGTTTTGATTCAAAGAAAGAGTCAGATTTGTAAAAGTAAGAATTTAATTCACAAACAATTTAAACATGACAAGTTAACTAATATTTACTGTGATGGATGAATCTAGATGTAGCATATGGTGCCTATGTGTGAATGCGATGCTATAAGAACTTCGTATCTAGGAAAGCTGAGTTCTGGGTATAAAAGAATTTGGTTTGTGTTAAGCTATGAAGTTGATTCTTATCAAAAAGCATCAGACGCAATCACACTGTGTTCTGCTTCACCCTTCGGAGACCCTCTTCATGGATCTGGAGGTCATCGAGGTCAGATGACCTCTGAGCACCCAGGTCCAGTAGATTGACCACAGAGCCGACATCCGTCTAGAGATGTCGCCAGGCACACTGGTTGGATGGAACCGTTTGAGTCTAGAACCTTAAGGAGTCGGAACAAAATCAGCTTTGTTCTGCAGGAACTGATTGCTGTGTCAGCTTGACGGCATGTCAAGGCTGCTTCTTAGTTAAAGACTTCACCACGGACAGCCGTTTCCGTAGCTTCCTCTAGAACTCTTTGCTGAGTTATAACACTGATGAACAAACTGCAACTGCAACTGGAACTGCGGAATCACCAGAGTGATTCTGTTTTAATGTTCTCATGTTATGATTTGTGTAGCCAACCAGAGGTTGACAAGTTGAGGAATGTCACCAAGACACCCTCAGAAAACACGCCTTCTTAGATACTGGATGCTCTGATCTGGGGTAAAGAAATATCTATGTGTCACACGTTTGACTTAACTTTACTTTGTCCTTGTGTGAGTGTGGAAGGTGATGGCCTTGTCATATCAACATGCTGAAACATATACTGTATAAATCATTCAATGTAATAATAACATAACATTCATTTCAAACTTCAGTCATTTAAGCACAGATTAATGAAAGCATTTTATTATAATTATTACAAGTAACAATAAACAAACGTTTATTTAATGATTATTTAACATAAGTTAACATAAGCGTCTTCCTCCGCTTATCCGGGTCCGGGTCGCGGGAGCAGCATCCCAACTAGGGGGCTCCAGACTGTCCTCTCCCCGGCCACCTCCGCCAGCTCCTCCGGCAGGACCCCAAGGCGTTCCCAGACCAGATTGGAGATGTAACCTCTCCAACGTGTCCTGGGTCGACCCGGGGGCCTCCTGCCCTCAGGACATGCCTGAAACACCTCCCCGGGGAGGCATCCAGGAGGCATCCTGACCAGATGCCCAGACCACCTCAACTGGCTCCTTTTGGTCCGGAGGAGCAGCGGTTCTAGTCCAAGTCCCTCCCGAATGTCCGAGCTCCTCACCCTATATCTAAGGCTGAACCCGGCTACCCTACAGAGGAAACTCATTTCGGCCGCTTGTATCCGCGATCTCATTCTTTCCGTCAATACCCAAAGCTCATGACCATAGGTGAGGACTGGGACGTAAATCGAGAGCCTGGCTTTCTGGCTCAGCTCCCTCTTCACCATGACAGATCGGCTCAGCGTCCGCATCACTGCAGATGCTGAACCAATCCGCCTGTCGATCTCCCGATCCCTCCTACCCTCACTCGTGAACAAGACCCCGAGATACTCAAACTCCTCCACTTGAGGTAGGACCTCTCTCTCCAGTCGAGAACCATGGTCTCAGATTTGGAGGTGCTGATCCTCATCCCAGCCGCTTCACACTCGGCCGCGAACCTCCCCAGCAAGAGCTGAAGGTTAGAGCTGGATGAAGCTAGGAGGACCACATCATCCGCAAAAAGCAGAGACGAGATTCTCCTGCCACCAAACTCGACACACTCCACACCACGGCTGCGCCTAGAAATTCTGTCCATAAAGGTAATGAACAGAATCGGTGACAAAGGGCAGCCCTGGCGGAGTCCAACCCTCACCGGGAACAGGTCCGACTTACTACCGGCTATGCGGACCAAACTGAAGCGAGTGTTTTCCTAATCATGTCTCTCAGAGAGACTTGTCACTTAGAAATTGGCTGAATAGCGCTTGTTCCTGTCTCCAATGTGGCGACGTATCCATGAGCCTGTCCGGCAAAAGTCCAGAATCTCGTATCCTCTTCAGCTCAGAAAGCTCCTATAGAGACATCTGATTACGCACAAGCAGAAATCTCAGTTGCTTGTGCCTGGGACCCAGCTTGGTTGCTACCAATGGTGGTGTTGACATCAGGTCATCAGAAGCAATCTGTGAAGAAAAAGATAATGAATTAGATCTAAATGTGATTTAAATGTGATTTTTGTTTTTAACAATTTTTAATGGCTTAAGTGTTATTATTTAATGATTTAAACCGTTTTAATCATTAATAGATTGTTTAATATTAATTATTAGATAAGATAGGAGTTAGAAACTACAATTGTTTAACGATGTGCTTTGTGGGCAATGCATACAGTTAAAAATATCTGCAATAATTAATTTAATGTTTTAACTTACCTTCATCCTTTCACTCTGTGAAGTGCACACTCTGGATTTGAATTTCCCCACTTTGCTGGTGTCTTCATCATCTGTCTTGAGACACACGTTGATCAGGCTGAAGGTGATGGGATACGTGTCTGATATGGACACCAGTCTCGATAGACATGATGGTCTTTGCACACTTGAGTGCTTCCAGCACTGGCGCCATATCCTCCATCAACTGCCAGTATTCATCTCTTAATTCCAGCGTCCTCGCGTCTGCGAGTGTGGTTACTGTGCGGTCAGGCAGTACAGCAGACACGGCCCACCTCTGCTCCGTTAGTCTGTTAAACATTTCACTGACTGAGTTCCTTCTGGTTTTACAGGATTAAGTGAGTTTGAGACGGCAGCTGCATTTGCTTCTGTTTAGCTGCGAGTGCTTTGTTTGCTGGATTACTATGATTGAAGTGTTGCACGGGTCTGCTAGCAGCTGTAATGACTCGGTTAAAGTAGGTAGCGAAGCCGTCGTGAATGGCCAGCTGCGGCGTGTGGGCAAAACATTCAACCAGCTGACTCGTTTGGGGCTGTTGCCAAGACGATATTCCAATGCATTATTGTGCACACAAGCAACTACACGCCCCATGAATCCCCCTGTTTCCACAGCCTGGTTTAACTTGTCAGCTAAATTGTCGGCCGTATGCCTCACTGTTACACTCTCTGTGAGTAGGACTGCTGACTTTACCTGCCAGTCCGGTTCAATGTAGTGGCAAGTCACTGAGATTTAGCTTTCTGTAGTCAAGGAAGTCCAACAGTCTGTTGAGAGGGCCACATTCGCTTTTTCAATTCAGCCTTCTTCCTCGCGTAATTTACTTCCAAGCGAGTGGTTATGGTTGTTCTAGAGGGGATAGTGTACCCCAGCTCAATGTACTTTATCACTTCTAGAAATCCCTGTCCGTCAACAACATTTATCGGCAGCATGTCTGCAGTAACCATCCATCCATCCATTTTCTGAATGGGGGGGGGGCTATCTCCAGCGGTCAATGGGCAATCAGGCGGGGTACACCCTGGATGGAGAGCCAGTCCATCACAGGGCAACACAGAGACACACAGGACAAACAATCACACACACACACACACTCACACCTAAGGACAATTTAGACAGACCAATCAATATTACAGTCATGTTTTGGACTGTGGGAGGAAGCCGGAGTACCCGGAGAGAACCCACGCATGCACAGGGAGAACATGCTAACTCCATGCAGAAAGATCCCAGGCCGGGAAGCGAACCCAGGACCTTCTTGCTGCAAGGCAACAGCTCTAACCACTGTGCCACTGTGCAGCCGTCTGCAGTAACCATGTAACATATTTGCTGGATAATGCCACTTCCACAAATTGTGCATTTCAGAATCAGAATCAGGTTTATTGCCATTGTCAGTGAACAAACAATTCACAAACTAGGAACTTGCTTTGGTACTAATGTGCTACATATAACATGAATAATAAGATTAAAAATAGAATAAAATAGAATAAAATATAATTAAAAAAACTAGAATAAAACTTTCAGATATAAAAAATGGCAGGTAATGGTAACATGGCCGATAACGTGACTTTGTGTCGAGTACAGAAGACGAGCATAGTTGTGTGTTTATAATCTATTCACAAGTCTAACGGCAGATGGAAAGAAGCTGTTCTTATGGCGGGAGGTTCTGGTCCGGATGGACCGTAACCTCCTGCCTGAGGGAAGTGGCTCAAAAAGTCTGTGACCCGGGTGCGAAGGGTCAGCTGCTATCCGACCTGCACGCCCCCGAGTTCTGGAGACGTACAGGTCCTGGAGAGATGGAAGGCTGCAGTCAATCACCTTCTCAG